TTTGCCAGATCTCTTCAAATTCGATACTGGCAGACCCCAATGCACTGCATGTATAACTTTTGTAACTTTATAGAATCCGCTATCTTCCGTACATTCAAAGACCCCTTACGATGGGTTATGAACAATTGGAGTATTGCCAAATCGCGTGAGGTATGCCCGTTGCCTTGCGCCATCGGCGATATCACATTTTGTATTGGAAGGAACGTCGAATTCTGAGTGTTGCAAAAATTCCTAGGATTTTTTTCCTATCTTCTGTAGTGACACAGATGACATCAGAAGTTTTCACTTCTGAAAACTATACCTTTTTTGACCAAAACTAAATCTTGACTATCCATCCCATAAAAAGGTTTACTAACAGCAATTTCTCGTAATATGTATTAGCTGAAGCTTTTGCGACAATTATATCTGTGCTCATATAAGCTACTGTTGCTCGAGAATACACAGCTTCCGTACATGAAATACATATGCTATGATTTCCAAATTGATCGTCAGAGATCAAATTCTATACCCATTCATTTGGTACCCACTGTTGATGGAAGCTTTCACATGCGACCTTATCTAATGCCAGATACTCGTCATTCATTTTTTATACTTTCGATACATTGTGCTCCCTTCATAGTATAATACAGAGCAAAAATGGGAGCAATGTCAAAATTCGACAAAGTGCGGATGTTAGCTTCTGTGCTTTCTTTCAAGCATTACGGGCCTGGTCTATGTGGAATGTTCGCATTCATTGCCATCATCAAATGGTACAGCAGGACAATCAAGTGAGTTTAGCTAGCACATTCACGACCCTAAATACAAAGCTGTTAATACTGAATAATCTAATTGTAAGCTATATACTCTTGTGAGCGTATGGCGAAGTTTTAGATTGATTAAGTATGCAGTATCTTCACAAAAGCGATATAAAAAATGAAAATATTCTATGTCGGTTGATCCTGTTCACATGTAGGAAAAAATGAAAAATTGATGTTTACATTGGTAATTTAAAAAATCTTCAACATTGGAGGACTAGCACTCCCACGTCCTTTATGAATCTTCAAGTGTTTCTTAACCTAAGCGGAAATTTTCAGAATTGATGTGATTTTTGCTGCAAATAATTACAGGTAAAAGACCTGCAGTATGACTCATTCTCGAGGGAAAGAGGGGAGGAGAAAAGGAGAACTCCATCTTTCTATAAAAATAACCGAATATCAAAGAACGTTTTACTTTTTCAGAGCATCAAGAAAGGCCTTGATGCCAAAGACTAGACAAAAGCCGAAAGACAAAGTGCACGTTGATGGAGCATTCTTTCGCAAACTCTGGCGTATACTGAAAATTCTTGTACCAAGTCCTTTTTGTGGAGAGGTTGGTTTTTAATTCTTTTTTCAAGCTGATCATTGATCTTTTCAGGTCTTTTACCTCATTCTTATAGCTGTGGCATTGCTCTCTAGAACTTATGCTGATCTGTATATGATCACAAAAACTACAAGAATTGAAGCGTAAGTCAATTTCTGGGATTGGAATTTTTTTTAATTGTATGAAAATTGCTTTAGAACGATTATAAACCGTGACAAAATACAGTTTATCTTGGATTTGGTCAAGTATATCCTGGCACTTCCAGCGATTTCTGTGACGAATACTATCCTGAAGGTATTTTTGCAATCTTTCATGTGACAGCGATAATTCTAAAGAAAAAAAAACATGGAATTAAGAATAAAAATAGAGGCACGTAAGGACAAAGGAAATCTTTGAAAATTTGAGTTTTTGAATCGATTAACTTCAAGTTTTTACGTATTTCTCTATTTTCGGCTCAATTGTCATGCTCGATTAGCCATTTATTCTCTTTTATGGTACACCTTGAGCGTATAAATAAAATAAAATAAATAAAATAAATAGTCCTTGATGTTAAAAAATTTCAGTTTGGTTTAAGCGAACTAAAGCTAAGATTCCGTGAACGATTAACCGAACACCTCTACGGACAGTATCTAAAGTAGGAAAATTTTCCAAAATTATGTCCCGTCGTATTTTCTGATTTTTGACTTTTTAGTGGTTTTACATTCTACAAAATGTCCAATCTTGACAACCGGATCCAAAACGCTGATCAACTATTGACCCAGGACGTCGATAAATTCTGTGAGGGACTCGTCGAGCTTTACTCGAATCTCACGAAGGTAATGTGATACCCCCTCCGTCTACGGCCATAAAATGTTTGATTTTTTTT